TAGGTAGGGAAAGAGAGAGAGAGAGTAGGTAGGTTGGTAGATAGAGGGAGAGAGAGAGAGAGAAATACAGTAGGGAGGTAGGAAGAGAGAGTGAGAGTAGGTAGGTAGATATTTCCAAGTGTATCCATGTGCTGGAGAAGGAAATTGCTGACAATCTGCAGCACCTAAGACTTTGTTTCTGCTGGCACAGAACCTGATCAATCTAATTCTCATCAATCAGTTAAAGAGCTTTCCAAAAGAAAAAAAAGTTTTTGCACTCTGCAAATCTCCCCAAAATGGCCTGTTTTTCATGAAAACGGGCCTGTTTTGTTTTTTTTTTCAAAAAAAAAAGCATGATAAGCCTTGGGTGGGGACTTTCAGAGTGCTCATGGGGTGTGTTGGAGGGGTCAAAAATGAGCAACAAAGGTCCGTTTTTCATGAAAATGGGCCCGTTTTTTGTCAAAAAAAATTACATGCATAGCCTTATGGAGGCTTATAGAGTGCTGCTGGGGGCTGAGGGGGGCAAAAAACAGTCCCTTTTTGCTCATTTCTGCCCTCCCCAGCCCCCAGGAGCTCTCTGAAAGCCTCCATAAGGGTATGCATGGTAATTTTGGTGAAGGGGGTGGGGCTTCAGGAGGCAAAAAATGCTGTATTCGATGTGTAAGACGCACCCAGATTTTCAGCCTCTTTTTTAAGAAAAAAGGTGTGTCTTATACTCCGAAAAATAAAGGTATGTGCTATAATTTATGAGTATATTCCTTTTCTCTAAAAAACTATTATGCCTTTTCTATTCCTTCCAGGTCCTTCCACTATTGACTTTGGAGAAGTCTGTGTGCATTCTACAACTACCAGAAAAATACATATCATAAACAACCTACCTGTGCATATATGGATACAAATAGAAATTAAAAGTGAAGAACTGCAACGAACTAATCCTTTGTTGCATGTCATAACGCCTTTTATGAAAACTTGTATTACCGTGGTGTTTGAGAAGGACACATTAGGGAACTTTAAAAAGTAAAACTCATATCTCTATGTAGTAATTTGGTAGTGAAGAAAAATAATTTTTCAGTAATAACACTAGGAGATGGGCAGATAGGATTCTTGTTGGAAAGCAGTTATAAAAGTTAATTAAAACTAAGTATTCTTTTGTAAGGAGATTTCATATATGTTGTGCTATCCAAATTAAATTTTAAGAATTATGTTTAGAGACAGTGTAAGAGTTTAGCAAGTTAAGTCAATTTCAATATTCCTAAATTAAATATATATAATGGCACAGTTTTACCGTTGGTGCTGCCTGATGGCACGGCAATAATAAAAAAATTTCAATCTGTTAATTACAAAATGATACATTGCTTCGATCTGCACACATACTACATGATACATTACAATATCCAAGCTTCTTCATAGGAACTCATTGTGCCTGAAAGCCAAGACCAACTAAAGAACTGGTAGCTAAATAAAATACCGATAGCAAGTTAGTCTAAAATCTATAAAAGCTAAAGCTAATCTAAATCTATCTCTAGCTATAGTAACCTACTGCTGCCTATTGTCTGTAACTGTTATGCTTTTGGATAGTTTCTGAGCAGAAACTATTGGAACATTAGTTAAGCCATTGGGGGGGATGGGGTATAAAAAAATGGGAAGCAAATTTTATAGCTTTTCCATTCAATTTCTTAAGGAATTGAATAACCTTATACTTTTATAAAGAGAAAAGTTTAGAAGAGTGTTTGCTATAGATTCTTTTTCTATTTATCCATACAACCAAACTCTTTCAGAATAAGAAGTTTGTAGTAATTGTTGCCTGTTGCTGTAGAAGGAAATGAATTAATATGTACATTAAAAAAAGCCCATGTGTTTATAACAGGTTAAATTATATAGGTATTTAGCAGGAGGTCTAGGAGGGACTTTCTGAGACTTGAAAATCTTTGTAGGATTCTATTTTGGCTATCCTTGATTTGACTATATTAACAGCATCCTCATAGCCCATGTGATGTAGAAATTCAAATGAGAATCCATATGTCTAACTTTTTTTCCAGGTTAATTGTCAAGTATCTTTGTACTTTATCTAGTAATAACAGTGGTAGTAAACCACTGAAGATAAATAAGACTCTAACTCGGGTTAACTATTCTGAATCATGCTTGAGATTTAACATTTGACACTTCTGTTTCTAGCCTTAATGTTATATTGAACACACACTTTTAGTGCACCTATAATGGCCCTAAAGAAGATGGCATGATAATGATGTTTTCTTAGCAAGTATTTGGCTATGTGTAATTGTACCAATAACAATAAGGGACCACAGTCACAATAACATACATAAATTGAGGAAAAATAATTATCTGTTCCAACTCTAAAACTGTAAGCACAATTGAAAAAAATACAAATTATAAAGCAAAGTGAATTTATATTAATTTAATAGAATAAATAACTACTAATTTAAAATAATTGACTTTAAGATATTCCACTTTCAAAATTGATTTCTATCTACATAAACTAACCATCCTTTCTCTCAGACAAAGCCCACACATATTCCCAGAAATGGTCATCCATTTTCCTCTCTACTTCTAGCAAAAATCATAACAAAAGAAAGGAGAAGTGGGATAAAAGAGGGCGGTAACTGCAGTCAGGAAGGAAAATAAAAGAAAATTGGATGCAAATAAGATAGAAATGTGATGAAGCTGAGTAAGGGACTGCTGAGTAAGGAAAGATCTGTTGCCCTATGATTACATCTTCTGGGTTTCTTTGGTAATATAGCAAATTGGTTTGTCTTCTTTGAAAAGTTTTTTTTTTACAGTCCAGCCTGCAGTCCTGGGATTTTCCAGTGGTCTCATCCTGTTTAGCATTCCCCCCGCCCCCCAGCTCAGTCATCTAGAGCTAGGAGTTTATATATACTGCATATATGGTACTTAAATCCAGTTTTGGTCACCACAATTTAAAAAAGATGTGGAGACTCTAGAAAGAGTGCAGAGAAGAACAACAAAGATGATTAGTGGACTATAACATATGAAGAGCAGCTGCAGGGACTGGGTATGTCTAGTTTAATGAAGAGAAGGACTAGGGGTGACATGATAGCAGTGTTCCAATATCTCAGGGGCTTCCACAAAGAAGATGGAGTTAAGCTATGCTTCAAAGCACCTGAAGGCGAAACAAAAAGCAATGGGTGGAAACTAATCAAGGAGAGAAGCAGCCTAGAACTATGAAGAAATTTCCTGACAGTTAGAACAATTAATCAGTGGAACAACTTGCCTCCAGAAGTTGTGAATGCTCCAACACTGGAATTTTTAAAAAGATGTTGGAGAACCATTTGTCTGAAGTGGTGTAGGGTCTCCTGCCTAAGTAGGGGAATGGACTATAAGACCTTCAAGGTCCCTTCCAACTCTCTTCTGTTTTCTGTTTTCCCAAATGAAGCGGCTGATGAAGAAAATATTTTTTTGTTTTACAGGTCTTTCATGTATTCAATAAACCAACGCCATGTTGGACACATTTTAGTAATAGCAAAAGTTGTGCCAGTTGCTTTGGAGTTATCTACAAGGGAATTGACTTTAAATCCTGCTTTTAGCTTTCTAGCAAAAACTGGATTTAGGACAACAGTCACTCTATATAATCAAAAAAACTATCCTGCACAATTTACTTGGAAACCTGTCATCACAGATAAAGGAATGGGATTTTCCATCTGTCCAGAAAAGGGTAATGTACAAAGTGTTCTTTTTTTCAATCAAAGAGGAATTTCAAATCGAATATGTAATGAGAGAATATTGACTTAAATATGAGGGGACAAATCATATTTGTCAAATATACAGTAATCTTTTCTTGAAAGTACATTGTATGGTAATAATTTTCTGTTCAAAATATTTATAGTTATCCAAGATTAGTTATGCATAGTTCTGTCATTTTCTTAGCCAGCCTAGCTGCTATTAATGGTCCATGTTTATTACAAGCCTATCTTTTAAATTATGATGAGAGATAGTGATTTGGGGTCCAAATTGATATTAAAGACTTTTTGGAGAACAATTGGTCCCTAGTCTTCCAATTCTTATTGATGCTGTATTAGCTCATAGCGGTTATATTGGATAGGCACAGTTTATATCACAATTAAGGGCTACTGAAGTTGTTCATTTATTGAAACAGTTTACAGTATTAAATGATAAAACTTCTTTATGTGTAATGTTAATATTTCTTATTAATAATGTTTCATGTGTTGGATTCAGTGTTGGGTTACGACTGGTACGCCCTGGTACGGGAGTACCAGTGCCTGCCGGGAGCACCAGGTACCGTTCCATTACGGTGCTCCGGAGGGCCCACCTGCCTGTCCGTGCTCCTTACTGGTACTTTTGGGGCTTATGCGCATGGAGCGTACGGTGTCTGCGCAACACTCCGCCAAGCAGCTGGAGTGTTGCGGGCGGTAAGTACGCATGTGAACGCTGCACACTTGTGCATGAGCTGCCCGCATTCATGTGGTGAACGCCCAGTCTCGTTGCACCGTTCTGGTTGCACCGGGATCCAGAACCCACCACTGGTTGGATTGGTAAAAACTATGGAGAATTATAAATCAGGACAAATGAAAAATGACTTATAAAATGATATAAAAGAATCACCCTAATTTGGATACATGGTTTTGTGTTGTTGTTTTGTAATGTTTAGTTGTCTAACAGTACGTTATCTCAATAATTAGTAATCATGTCTTTATAAATATATTCTCTGTGTTTGAGTATGCTGAAATTTGAACTTGAAAGGAAAATCATTATTTTTCACTACTCACCTCAGTTAAAATTAGATCTTCCATGTGGCAGAGTTTTTTTAGGAATGGCATGGAAATATGAAACACCACATACTGGCTACAAAAAAACCTACATTAGATGATTATTTGAAGTTCAGTAAATTAAGTTTGGGATATTCATATTGAATAAAAGTACAGCTCTAATTAATATGGATAACTTTATAAACTAATTATGTGAATTGACTTAATATTACAATGTATTAAAATTACTATTTATCTTTCATAATAGTTATATTTTCAACAGTTTAGTATTATTTTCTCTCCTTTTATATTTAGGTATAGTAGAAGCAAGTAAAGATCTGGAATGCGAAGTTGTTTGGCATCCAAGTTTCTCCTCTTCTGCAAATGGAGAATTTGATTTGTGTGTGCATGAAGGAAAAACACTTAGATTAAAATGTTTTGCAAAGGTATTAGTATACGTTTTGCAGACTATAAGACACTCCAAAGTATAGGACCCACCTAGCTTTTGGAGAGGAAAACAAGAAAAAAATCTGCCTTTATCTCCCAGCAGTTTGCCTTCTTGACACAAACAACAAACAGGGTTGTCAGCTTCAGTGCAGCCTAATTTATCATGAGCAGCTGATTGGCGGTTTGATTGGCCTCCCGGAATACTGCCTATCAGCTGTTCCAGGCTGTGGGGATCGCTGCCACCCATCGATGCCAGCGCTGCCTGTCACCACTGTCATCTACCACTGACTCTGAGCACCCCATTTTCAGCCTCTGCGCGGATCATGGAACAGGCCGAAAATGGGACATGCAGAGGCCGAAAATGTGGTGTGCGGAGGCCGAAAATGGGATGCGCGGAGGCGGAAAATAGGTAATGTGGACCCGGTGATAGGTGACAGCGGCAGTGGGTGGTGATGGCGCCAATGGGTGGTAGCGATTGCCGTACCACATTTTTTTTGGGGGGGGGGGAGTGTGTCTTATACTCTGAAAAGTATGGTAGTTAGTATTTCTTCTATTTGTAGTAATGATACTTATGCGTTTAATATGTAAAGAAATAAACAATGCCAGTACATTAAGGATGAACTAGTAATTGTTAAAGAAACATTCTCTCTTCACTAAATTCAGAGCTATCAGGAGAAATGTTTGCCACAGTGGCACTTACAAGTACAGATAGTCCTTAACTTAACAATTCATTTTCTAATGGTTCAAACTTATGATGGCCCTGGAAAAAGTGATTTATGACCTCACCTTAAAGTTATGACCATTGCATCATCCCTGCAGACACATGCTCTCTTGACTTTTCTGCGACCTATGCAGTGTGTTCGGATTGCCTGCCTCCCCCCTCCTGCGCCTCTGCCTCTGTCTGCTGCTTGGACAGGGAATCAACTTACCTGTGCTGCGGGGGTTAACACAGGTCTGCAAAAAATTTTTTTTCAAGAGCTGTTTTGGTTATTCCACGTAATCTTTATGTTTTTTGGTGCACTGAATCCGAAAATGACCTCCATTTTGTCATAGGACATCACATTTCCTTACAATTTAGGTAACTATGTTAAATAAGGCAATACCTCAAAATAAATGGAAATAGACTTATAAAATTAAAGTTTTATTACAATATTTTCAT